CTATCTCCTCTCATGGTTTCTGCCCCATTGCCACCAACAGTTGGAAAAATGAAAGCGGCTCATACAAAAGACAGATGCTGGCACACTGTCTCAGAAGGGACAAGGTACAGATGCTTTTCGACGATAGCTTCCAACCCTTTCAACTCCAGACTTTGGTCTCTTTTTAAGAAACATATTCATCTGTGCCATACATTTTTGCTTTTGATGATCACTGTTTGCTTATTGCTTTTAGGTTGTGCTGCATGAGGATTAAGGCATGATCTAAATACATAATTCTCTCATTTTGGAAACATTACTATCTGCCTGTGTGGGGGTGGTTGATGATCCGGGAAGAGCGGTGCTCTAAGACTGGGGCTGGAACCGGAGGGGTTTGGGGGCTGTGGGGTATAATGTAATGTAACCACAAAGGCTCTCTCTGCAATATCCTGAGGGTGGGTGCTTAGAAATTCTAAGGCCATGTGTCCTATTCTTCTTTGTACTGTTCAGTGTATTTGTTAAGATTGAAACTGGGGACAAATGTAATTAGAAAAACAGTTATTTTTAGGTTTTTGTCTGTAGGACCTGACCGAGGCTTCAATGTAACGGGTAGTCAAAAAAAAAAAAAAAAAAAAAAAATGCTTGTGAGGTTGAGTAAGAGCAGCCTCCTAAAGAAAACATCAGTTATAAGAGTGGTGGTACCTTGTCATTCAATGTTGACCTAAATATCACCTCTTCAGGGGCCTTTCTTCCCCCATCCCTCACTCCCTTGCAAAATACTTGTTCTCCTTATTCTCCATCACATGATCTGTTTTGGTTTCATCGTGGACATCGGTTATTTTTGTGTTTATATCTTCATTTATTTGCTGTCTTGTCATCACCATCCAATTTCCCACCAGAACATTCACTGTATGATGGCGGGGGGCTCTGTTTGCCTGGGAGCCTTTCTGTTCCCTATGGTGTGGCCTCAGCTGTTGGGAGAACGCCTGACACTCAGAAAGCATCCAATGAATATTTGCAAAACATATGAATATACTTCTACAGTCCTGCCTTCAAGAACAGATGTCTAAATAGCATGGTCACCATATAATTTATTTTTCACAATTGCCACTTTTGACAATGAAAGAAGACACTGTTAGGTGTCAGGATAATAGTTATAAACTTTATAAATCTTTGTTGAATGAATAAAGAAACACGGAATACACACACATTTAGATCACTGGAGGGTCTGACAGATATCAGGATTATGGAATATATTTTTAAAGGTATAATTACATATGACAATTCAGGAGATCAAGACATCTAAAGATCAAGAAGAGTCCCAAGAAGATATCCTAATAGACCCTTAGAAACTAGCTGGAGGTGATTTATAACTAGTGCTATATTGAATGCCCATGAATAGTATTTAGATGACTTTCAAGTCCTTTATGCAACTTGATTTCTCCAAGTAGTTAACATTCCTTCCCCAGGACCACTGGTACCTTAGTTCACACAATGACTTCCTTAGGAAATCTTTGATTGTTTCTCTTTGTTTATTATTCTAGGGCTTAGAAAAGGTGAATTTAAGTTCACACTCTAATTACCTAGAATTCTCCAATAGTGGGATTCAGATTTGGAAAGGTTTTTCTTTTGTTTGTTTTTGTCTTTCTAATAGACAAACAGGGGCTGCTGAGTCTACAGTACTAACAGAACTGCTTGAAAACTTAAATACTTGAATACTAAACTTAAAATTAAGGGTCTTATTTTCAAAGGTAGTATATTAGCCTAACACGGAGATCTGTCATGTTTCACTGACTTGGTACAGTGGCAGAATTAGGGCTGCCAGGCAAAAATAATAATCAACAGATCTGTCTCCTTTGCATTGAACACATTCTTGGGTAAGGGTACCTAAGACGTATGCATTTAGTTAGAGGGTGAGGAAAACATCCACTGGCAGGGTTTGGCTGCCTTTGGGCTCATGATCCAGTATGCAGGCTCTTCCCCTATGATGCAGAACAACATGGGCAATGACAGATATTAACTGAAATTCCTCCAGTGTGTCAGGTACTGTGCTCATGGGAACTGGGGGGATTTACCCATGAAGAACCTAAACAGGGTCTTTGGCCCCTCAGACATTCAGACATTACAACTGATTCAATTCTTGCGTAAGAAGAACAGTAGGAGGCAGTAGTGGGGTGATGGTAAGGTGCTCCACATAAGGCAAAGTAGCACACACTGAAGGATGTGACTGAAATAGCCTGTATTAGAGCAAAGAGAGCCAAGGTATCAGTGGAGGGTGATGGGCATAGAGAGGCAGGCACGGGTGAGATCCCACGGGTCCTTGTGGACCATGCTTACGGTTCGGGACCTCATCCTTTCTCTACTTTTCCATGCCACCCTTTACCCTGTAAATATCCTTACCTCAGGATATTGTACCCTGTACAAGAGACACCGCCCAGAAACCCGTGGGGACAAGACTGCAGTGTTTATAGCTGTGGAATAAACCAGGGTGAGTCACTGCCGCAGGAGGAGCAACCAGCTGTTCTGACAAAAGACATCACTAATGTGAAAAACACCTTTCATTTGTATGAGTCTATAGTGAACTCACCGACATACAATATTACTTCTTTGCTTGTTTATTGTCTATTGTCCCTCAACGACATAGCAACTCCACGAGAAGAGGGCAAGTGTCTACCTCCCACCCACTGCTGCCCCCCAACATGTTGAACTAGAACTGACACATGGGTAGTTGTTTAATGGATAAATGGCTCTTAAGTCAGTAAGAAGACAATTGTTCAAATTTGCATTTTAAAAATACCCTTAGGCTGTGATTATGATGTATGGATTTTAAGTGGGGTAAAAGGATGAGAAATGTGATTGGGAGACAGAGTGCCTAAGTCTATAGAATAATCCTTGACAGATCCTAGGGAGTCTCCAATGACCCTCTCTACTACTGGGAGCTAAGAAGATGGAGATGAAAATTAACATGCAAATAAACACCCAGGATGTGTGTCAGTTACTGCACTAGGTGTTCATATACGTCATACTATTTAATTCTCAAACCAAAACACCTCCAGTGTGCATGCATTCTATTTTATAGATAAAGCAGCTGAGAATCAGATTAATTTGCCTAAACAGCTGCAATTTGAACCTAGATTTACCCAACTTTAAAGTGGATGCCCAACTGGAAACTATACCATGCTGCCGATCAGAATATTTGAGGAACAGTCAGTCAATCACTGAAAACTTGAGATTCTTCTTTTGGTTTCCTGAGGTTCTTTGAGAGCACGAGCTCTCAACTGTGCAGGAAACGGCATGTCATTATTGGACATTGTGACTCTCATATTTTCACTGTGAGTGATGCTCTTTGCAGAAGTAGTTTTCAATTTCCTTAGCCACATTTTCCTAATACAGATCCTGACTACTGTTTTCAGCTCTACTGTTACCAAAACCTGATAGCTGAGTTCACACATGAGCCCCTTTTCCATGATGCATCGTACCTCAGTTCCTTAGATAATCCCAAATGAGGCAGAGAATTGTCTGCAACTCCAGCACATTCATTTGGGAGTAGCTTAGAAATGAGCCTATGTCCTAGTGGTCCAGTCACTTCTAGAAACCTGTCCCAAATACTTTTGTTTGGCAATCAGATCCAGGTCTTGGTGTATCCTCCTCCCATTTTGATTCCATGACTCCTGCAACTTGCAGTTCTTCCCTTCTCTTCTGCTTAGTGCCTAACCATACAACAAGACTTTTCTCTAGGGCCCTACTCCAAATATCTGACATCTACCTTGTGATAAAGTAGAACTCTCTATCAGAACCGCAGTCGTATCCTAGACCACAGGTCTGTGCTTTCCAATTATTTTCTTGTGCTCTTTTCCACGGACAATGTCTGGGTCCCCACTTTAGTCTGGTGCTGGAGTGCTATCTATATATCCATTTGCCTAGCTTCTGAGTATCCCTGCCTTTCGTTCCTTGCCACTGTATATCATTTGCCCACTGAAATCCTGGGAACTTGTGGTAATGGTTGCTATCTGTTCACCACAGATTTATACTCCTTTTCCCCCATAGTGAACACTATCGCTGAGAAGTGACTGGCCATCTAGAAACTACATTTGCTGCCCGACCATCTTGCATTGAGCTGGGAACATGGGACGAAATTTTGTATAATAGAGATGGGAGGGATGTATGTTACCTGCATAGAGCCAACGGGAAGGCACCCTCTAGAGAAAACTGGTTATGTTAAAGTGGTAGATCCTCCATCAACCTGTGTTCTTGATTGACTTTTTAAAGTGCAAACAACCCCTCCTTTTATGTGAGTGAAAAATTAGTCTCTAGTTTGGGATATTAAGCCATTGTGATTTGGGGGTTCGTCTGACACAAGATTACTTATATAATACATACTTCTTCCAAAAACCATGGAGGCCAGTATTTTGTCTTGTTTTTTTTTTTTTTTTTTTTTTTTTTTTTTAGAATGGGGGCTGGCTGGAGCGAGAGGGAAAGAGAGAATCTTAAGCAGGCTCCACACCTCCAGCACAGAGCACTGAGATCATGACCTGAGCCGAACTCAAGATTTGGATGCTAAACTGACTGAGCCACCCAGGTACCCTGAGTTTATGACCTTTGGAAAAACACTGTCTCACTGGGCTAGCAGTTCTTTTAGTGTCTGCCACTGTGGCCAGGTCAGGTTTGCAACCTCTACCTCGACAGAAAGGACTGATACAAGGCAAGTTCTATCTCTCTTCCCCTCTGGGTCAGCCTCACATTGTCTCCGCCAACTGGCCAACATGCCTTATGCCCATTTGTCAAGTTATGGCATACAGAAAGGTATTTAAAAACCAAACTGTTGAGGCACCTAGGTGGCTCAGTCGGTAAACCAACTGACTCTTCATCTCAGCTCGGGTCTTGATCTCAGGGTTGTGAGGTTCAAGATGCACACTGGGCTCCGCACTGGGCATGGTGCCTACTTTAAAAAATTAAAATTAAAAAAAATTAAAAAAACAAAAACCAAACTGTTTAGTGGGGACAAACATAGGGAACCCAAATACCTCCATGGCCACAAGTCTTTGAACATTCTGTCCAAGCTGTCCACCCTGAGAGCTGACAGTTGACCACACATTCCACCAGGCAGTGAATGCTCATTCTCTGGGGCTTCTCCAAGTTACGCTGCAGATGAAAATAAAATACAATTTTATTGCAGAAATCCTATCACTTCAAATCAAATCACTATCCTTTCATGGGAAAGACTTTATTCTATGATAATAATCTTTCTACATCTTTGTATGGAAAAATATCTTTTCTTATAAAAATTGGTGGCTGTCCTAGAAAATAGTTGGCCTAACTTCACAGAATAGAAAGTTGTTGGCCCAAATTTCTTTTTTTAAAGTCCTCAACTGTAGAATAGACCTGCAGTTAAGGTACTGGGAAAGCAGACAGTTATGTGAAACAGAAATCTGTCCTCGCTTAGTGTTAAATTCAGGTACCTTGCACTTCTGGATAGGCCAAGAGTACAAAGAGAGCTCAAAATTAACAGCTAGCCAGCTAAAAAAATAAATAAGAATAAAAACGGAATCAAGAACCCAGCTATGCTCATTAAAAAACACCTATTAGGTTGAAAACATAACCGTACTCTAAATCATGAGAAAAATTGGTGATATGGTTTATTTTCCTCTTGTCCTCTCTTAAACCAGCATGGAGGCAAAAATCTATAGATTTTTCTAATGGCCAAACTAGAAGAGATCTTTGTGAAAGAAATCATCTAAGAAACACAGAAAGAATAATGAAAAATCTTGCTACAGAAATCACAGACTATTTGCTTATTTAGGAAAACTCTGACATTCAACACATGTTAAGTGTTAGCAATGTCCACAACAAGCTAAAATGAATGATTATAGCATGATTATATGCTGCATAGGCAATAGAGAAATTACCACATAGGATCTTCAATCCATTTGAGATATATGGATACTCTAGATAGGTTAATAATTTGGGACTTCCTTAAACTAATATTCTTTAAATATTGAACATACGGTATTTGAAAAGCAGAAAAACTGATTTTTCTATTACTGAATAGTTTCTATCTCACTTTGTATCAAAAGAAAAGATTTATAACATACACCAAATGTACGATTTTTAGTTTATTTGGAGTTGCTGTAGATTGGTGATTTATTTTTGCTAAAGCAGACAACTTTTGGGGAGACAGATTAAATGAAATGTTAAGATAAAGCACTGACACTTGGTGGACAGAACTCTCCCCTGTCTTAGCCAGTGTTAGAATTTCACCAAAGGGGATGTCCAATTTCAGATGGCTTTTTCTCAGTGTTACTGTCTCGGGCTGTCCTGTTGGTTTAGAGAGCCATTTTTTTAATTCTTAATAGGAGAATACTTAAATCAGGATAGGTGAGAAAAATTTGATTTTGATTTTAATTCCACTTGTGGACTCCATCTATGTCAGGAGAAATGGGACCAATTTTCATTTTGCCAATTTGTTTAGGAAGCTTCTATGGAAGCCTGAGTTAACTGACCCTGAGTATTTTCAATTTATTCCAAAGACTGTGTTGGTGATTCTTCCAGTGTGACAGAACATGGTCATCCTTGTTTCTATTAAACTGTCCCCAGAGAGATTTTCACTCAGATGTTGGAAAGGAAATGCAACTTCTTTGGAACAGGTTTGACTACAGCTTTTGTCCAAGCTCTACATAGTTTATCACGGGAAAGAAAGGAACAATAACATTACAAAAATTCAGAGCTCACTAATTGGAACTTGGCAGGGAGGCATTTTAACTTAGGTTGAGAAGCAAAATACAACTGTGCTATTTATCTAGCAATCATTTGCTAAGCAAATGAGCAGCATATTCTAATAGTAAGTGTCAGTGTTCATCTTATATGCAAGGCACAGTGTTCATATATACAAATGAATTACCAGCCTAATGCAGAGTCCTATCCAGATATTAAAGTCGCCTGATGTGAATAGTTTGTAGCAAGCAAGTACATCTACTTAAGTTCTTGAAAGTAATAAAAATAATTTTTTAATGAATCCATTTCCTCAGTGCAAAATGACCTTTCCCAGTCATCTTGACTAAGTTCAAAGGAATGAGGTATAACTGTCCCATACCAGTTACCTCTTACTCTAACTAAAGCTAAGCTTCAAGAGGCTTCAAGAAGGAATCAGAGTTTGACCTTTATATCAAGCATCAAGGTTGCAGCCTAATATTAAGAAACACAAATCCTCGAGTGTGAGATACAAATATAGACAAATTACCTGCTCACACTGGTCCACACTGACCGACTTGCCATCACTGCGCACACAGCTCAGAAGGCGGGTCCTGACACCTCGTCCGCAGGTGGCATTTTCACTTAGCTGGCACGTGCTCCAATCTACAGGTACAGGATCACCACACCGAGTTTCAGAATTATGGTCATGTGAGCAAAATACAACAGACCTTTGATGATTTGCACTGGTGAGGAAGGACAGTATATATACATAACCCTACAGTCATTTCCAGGTGGCTTCAAAAAGCACCCTGCAATTCTTTTATTGCAAAACAAATAAGCAACCAAATAAAAGTGTGTCACCTTCCTAAGTTTGCTTTCTAAAAGTAAAAATCCAAACGGTTTGTTAGAGACCATGTCGCTGTTGACTGAAGAGGAAGGGAAAGACTCTCACCAGGATGGTAAAGGAAAACTAGTTTGGAATCCTCTGTTTGTGGGGGATAAGGAGAGAAAAGGGACCCAGAAACGATGCTACTCTTTGATGTAACTTGAAAATATTTTCAAGGAATAAATCCAATTATCTAAACAATTTCATACATTCAGTACAGTGGAGCTAAGACAGGTGCCTCAGAAAGGAAAGAGAGGTACCTCAGAAACTACATGACTATTACAGAAAGTCTATTTTTTTTCAAATTATTCTCTCATGAGGGAAGGTTTTATAGATTTAGATAGCTGCATTACAAACTAGATAACTGGGAGTTTGAACAAATTATCCCATAATTAACTGATTCTTTTTTTTTAAAAGATTTATTTATTTGTCAGGGAAAGAGAGAGAGCACACAAGCAGGCAGAGGGAGAAGCAGGCTCCCTGCTGAGCAAGGAGCCCAATGCAGGACTCGATCCCAGGACCCTGGGATCAGGACCTGTGCCAAAGGCAGGTGCTTAACGACTGAGCCACCCAGGCATCCCAATTAATCTGATTCTTAAAAAAAAAACAAAACAAAAAAAAACCCAAAAACAAAAACAAAAACAAAACTTACTTTTGGTCTAATTAGAAAGAATGCTCTTTGATGATAAACATTGAGAACCTCTTTAAAGACATTTTCAATGTTTGATAAGTGATCTATGAGTTTAACAGGAATAGTAAGCCCATATGTAATAAAATCAGTATCTTATTTTATTTTTTATTTTATTTTAGAGAGAGAGAGGGAGAGAGAATGCACACTGGCGCAAGTGCTTGTGTGCAAACGGGGGAGGAGCAAAGGTAGAGGGAGAGAAGCAGTCTCTCTCTGAGCCCAGAGCCCCACACAGGGCTCCATCTCATGACCCCAAGATCACGACCTGAGTCGAAATCAAGAGCTGGTTGCTTAACCAAGTGAGCCACCCAGGCGCCCCATAAAATCAGTATTTTAAAGACATGATCTTCCAGTATAGCAAACTGTACTGCATTTCTGAAAAATTACTATAAAAATCAAGGATCTGAAGCACCTTTAACTAAAGAGAAAGGGCAAATATACACTAGGTCATCTTTCACCAATAAAGACAATCAAATTGTCCCCCTAGAATTCACTATAAAGTTTTCTAAGTGAGAAATCTCAGTTGTGCCTATGTGACCTCAGTGGGGAACTGGTTTCAGAAGAGGCTATTGCTTTGCCTCTGCAGGCATGTTGATTGCTTGGTTGTCAGTACTGAATTCACTGCTGAGACTTAACATGGGTCCACATTTGGTGGCATTTTGTATATCTGCTCCTGCAGGTAATGACAGGTAGCAAATCAATGAAACTAAACAGTCTGTGGTATTAGACACTGTGGTGCCCAGAAAAATCCTGAGCAGTGGCTGAATAATGAGGTGGGTGGGATTCCTAGTGCCTCTAAAATATCCCTGTCCACTCAGGTCTACCATTTATCCTCATTAAGACCCATAGAGCAAAGTACATCACAAGCTTGAATTTCTTGAAATAGTAAAGGCCATGAAAGAGCTAAATTCTATGACAGCATGACTACGTTCCTCCCTAAATGGTAAATTATCCTGTGCTGCTTACTTTTCTTATTTTGGTTTATCATAGCTTAATTCAGCTCTATTCTGAAACTTTGCCAAGTCTTTCTAAGCATCTTGGAATTCAGAGATTACAGGTGGCCTTGCTGAATCTACATGCCAAGAGTGGGAATTTCTCTGGAAATGTCAAATCCTCAGCCCTTCATGCAATACACTCTCACATTCTACTGTCAGACCTTAATCCCAAGAATGAATGAACACACACACACACACACACACACACTCTCTCTCTCTCTCTCTCTCTCTCTCTCTCTCTCTCCCATCAGTGTTCAGGAGAAATGGCATGGCTGTGGATTTCAACTGTACCTGTTAGATTGTACTGGAACTGGAAGCAATTTTCATTGAGGAGGCAAGGCCGCACCTGTGAATCTTCAGCACATGTCCTTGAATTCAGTGAGGGTCTCAGCAGATGGCGGGTTCTTCTCTGCATTGAGTGGGGATCACATGACTGTGAAAATCAAAGAGCAGGCAGAGTTAGAAGGAACCCAGAGTTAGTTGGCAAATTATATATGATTATCTGTGTTCGTGTAGGCGTTGTATAATAGTACAGGGAAGAGACAACTGAGGTGTTATAAACATAATATTTAGAAACTAAAATCATTTTGTGATTCACTATAGATTGTTTTTTGTATTTCCCACCTGATAGCTCTTTCTTTTTCTATGTTATGGTGAAGGCTACATTTCTATCTTCCATGTAGAATTAGGCACACAGAAACTATTTTCATCAATTAAACACATTCTGTGCTCTCAAATATCCTGCCACAGAGCAAGAGATAAAATGCATTTTGAATGTTTAAATGAATGAAAAAAGGAAGATAATGTCCCTGTGCTCTTAGATAGTCTAGCCCAATAGAAATAACCACACAGAACATTTTAATGAGAAAATCATTTTTAAAACCCCAAAACAGGTATATAAAGAGAATTAATAAAATCAATATTGCCAGTATACCAGAGCTTTCCTCTTATTTGGGAGGCCCTCCGATCCACAGGGGATGAGCCACTGCATGTCATACTGCCCTTTCAACAAAACAGATGTATAAATGTGAACTTCAAAGACCTCCTGCAAATATCACTTTGCCCATGGGTCCTCTGATAGCCTCAATGCACATAACGCCCTTGAGCCAGGTAAACCTGTCTGCCACCTTTCATCCAGCCGCTCTACCCATGGTGAACCTTCGAGCTCCCCCTAATGGAATAATCTTTCAACTGTCCTAAATCCTACCCTTCTCCCTGCCTTCAGAACTCTACTCAAGGCTTCATTGACCCTCTTTCTTTTTTTATTTAAAGCATTTTTTTAAAAGATTTTGTTTATTCATTTGAGACACAGAGATAGAGAGAGAAAGAGAGCATGAGGAGGGGGAGAGGCAGAGGGAGAGTGAGAGGGAGAAGCAGGCTCCCTGCTGAGCCCGGAGCCCAATGCGGGACTCAATCCCAGGACCCTGGGATCATGACCTGAGCCGAAGGCAGACGCTTAACCATCTGGGCCACCCAGGCGCCCCAACCCCTCTTTCTTTTAATAAAGATAAAATTTTCTCTTCCTTCCTGTGCAACTCTCTACTCATGCTCAGGAATTATTGTATAGGATTTGTTTCTGAACAGATATACATACCCATATACTTATACACTATACCTGTCCTTATAATATTGCCTTTATTACCCTGGCTCCTTCCTTTCTTTATAAACTCATTGAGGGCATGATAGCATGCTTTCTACTTCCCACATCAGTCTCTAAAAATCTTGGTATGTATTTTACGTAGTAATTATTCAATAAATACCATTAAGAATGGTCACAACAACACGATTCCAGACCCCAAATCTAAAGAGGCACATAGATACTTAAACCACAGGAGAAATAAAAGTCTCTAAATTAAGGTCACCAAAATCATCATTTCTATATTGGGATGTTTTATTTATTTTTATGCCTTTTAGTTTTTCAGATATTGTAGCAAGAACACAACCTATAAACTGAATCTTGGCTGTTAATCAAAACGATGATGTTGGATTGCACCGAAATATGCAGAAAAATGCCACAAAATTTTCTTCTAATTTTAAATGTTTGGAGTCACTGAAACATATTTTTTATCCATGTGACTTTATAGCTGGATAATCTGTCAATACTCATAAACCAATTTTATATTTTAATTGTATCAAATTGTCTCTAGATGATAAAGGGCCATTGAAACCAGGTCATTATACTTAATTATCTGCAAATGAATCCCATGCTAAATGCTTACCAATAATTTATTACTAATTCACCAATTTGATTGTTCATTCTTATAAGAAGGAATGAGAATTTAAATGATTTGCCAATGAAACAAAAATGAAGGTATCTAGGTAGATATCCCTGATTAGTGTTCTACTGATTTTCTGCCTTATAAAAAAATCAATTGATGTTGGAACCAAGTGAATAAATGTTAGAATTTATATACCTGCTTAGTCTAAGTCATCAAATAAAGCAAAAAAGAAAATAACACATGCACACATCAAATTATGATGTCACCTTGAACAATTTACTTATATAGTAAATATATAGAACATACATATATAGAATATATATGTATGTATATATATGTGTGTGTGTATATGTGTGTGTGTATGTGTGTGTGTATATATATATATATATATACACATATAGAACAATTTACTTATATATTAGTCTATATCTTAGCTCCTCATCTAAACCTGAGTGAGAAGAGGTCATGGGTGTAATTTGTGATTTGGGAATTTCCTCCCTTAGACCTCAGTCTATCAGTTTCTAATTCTGCTGGATGTGGTTTTAAAATACTCAGTTGAGGGCACCTGGGTAGTTCAGTCAGTTAAGCATCCGCCTTTGGCTCGGGTCATGATCCCAGGGTCCTGGGATCAAGTCCTGCGTCAGGCTCCCTGCTCAGTGGGGAGTCTGCTTTTCCCTCTCCCCTCCACCCTGCTTGTGCTTGTGCTCTCTCTCTCACTCTCTCTAATAAATAAAATATTTAAGAAATATTTAGTTGAGCATAATCCATCATTCATAATCATGAAGACCTTGATAATTACTTTCTAGAAATTAATATATTGAAAACCAACACTGCAGCTAACTCTCCTACTAATTCTCTATCCCATAGAAATAGACAGGGGAAAGTGTGGGTGACTGGAGTCAACAAACACAATCCAACCTAATCTTAGGCAATATTTTTATGTTCCACTTAAAAAAAAAAATGCCCTAGCAACTGCTAACAAGTGATAGGTAGAGGTTAGTGTTTTCTCCTTATTTCTATCTATTGGCTGTTTATAGGAAGTTCATAAAATAATAAATTGGTCACAAGGAAGAAGGGAGTGGAGCTAAAAAAAAAAAAAAAGAATGGTAAAGGAGGCTTATATCTGGATGATTTCTTTATTGGATCAAGACTCCTCAAATACAAACCTGGATCTCCTCTCGAGTATTTATATAAAGACATATTGTCAATTTCCTAAATGAAGTGAGAAAATTATGTGTGGATAACTAACCCAAAGTCGACTTGGGACCAGTTTTATTGTAAAGATCAAGGTTATATAGCTAAAGTTTATTTGCTAGTGAAAGAGACGACCAATAAGAACCAGCTAGTCTTTGGTAAATAAGCCTCCTTTATGAGACTGGATTTTCTAACTTATTACCTTTGAAAACCAGCACTTACCTTAAAGTTCAATCCTTCCTTACGACATTGTGCTTTCATACCTTTTGTTCTCTATAGCAATAGGGCCTTTACCCTTGGATATTTGTATTCAACTGTCAAAATTAAATCAGATATCCCATCTGAGAACCTCCAATGACTCCCTTGCACCCATAAAAATGGAATATCGTTCACTGCACATTTCCCATTGCACTCGTACATGTATCAATGTGTATGCATTCTTTCCCATGGGCTATTTGAAGAGAGTCCATGTCTTAATTTTCTTGGACACTGAGAAGCTTGTTCCATGTCTGGGCATAAAGAATGTAAATAATAAATACTTGTTATGTAGGATAATGTGGTTCTTCCTAGACAATAAGACAATATTTGTAAGCTACCGTTAGTAGACAAATGGTCAACCCTGGACTATGATCACATTGCCTAAAAGTAAGGATTCCCCATATGTCTGTATATCTGATAAAAAGAGAATGCAATCTTTAATTCTCTTTCATTTTCTATAAATTCTAGATGACAGTTCCCAAAATAATGGCATCTATCATTAACTTAATAAAACATATCAATAAATGAGTTCTGATTTATCCAGATAAAGGATGACAGTTAATTTAGATTTTTAAAGAAACCCAAATAAGAATGTATAATTTGATATTTTTCTAATACTTAACTGTTAACAAACACAATAAAACCTCACATAAACCCAGGTACTTGTGAACTTCAGTCACTCAGCATACTTTTTGTCTGGAAATGAGCATGATTCCAAGGTCTAGCCTTGTCAACTCCCACCAGATACAGAAAATGAACACTTTTGTTCTGTTACAGAATTTATCTGATCATTCTGAGATGGTCTCTCCTTCATTTCACTGATTAGTCCTACTGAGAGAAGCTCTGCTGTTTTTCTCCATATCTCTCATGAGGCAAATATGGATATATAATGCTATTGACTTGAGTTTTCTTATTTGGAAAAATGGCATAAAAAGATTTGCAAAATACCATTGCAATGCTTTGTAAGGAAATTTTTAATAAAATTAAATCCTGATTCTCTTTTCCCACATCCTTGCCAACACTTGTGTTTTTGACTTTAGCCATTCTGACAGGTGTGAATATTGCGTTGTGGTTTAGATTTGCATTTCCCTGATGACTAGTGATGCTGAGCATCTTTTTATGTGTCTGTTGGCCATTTGTATGTCTTCTTTGGAAATATGTCTATGTCCTGTGTCCATTTTTTAATTATATTATTTGTTGGTTTTTTTGTGTGTGTGTGTTGAGCTGTGCTTTGTATATTTTGAATATTAACCCCTATCAGGTATATCATTTGCAAATATATCCTCCCATTCAGTAGGTTCTCTTTTTATTTTACTGATAGTTTTAGTAAATGTGCAAAAGCTTTTTATTCTGGTGTAGTCCCAATAGTTTACTTTTGCTTTGTTTCTATGATGAGCACAGAGTAATATGTAGAGTTGTTGAATCAGTATCTTGTACACTTGAAACTGATATAACACTCTATGTTTATACTGGAATTAAAATAAATATAAAAAAATTAAACCCTGATCCCCAAAGGTTGATAAGGGATGAACAGACCTCTATAGGAGAAAAATCTGGACCTGAAGAATTGTTACTCATGCCTCTTATGCTTAAAAATATTCTCAAGAATTCTAAGAAGTTGGTTACAGAAGTGGGAAAAAAAAAGTCCTTTGGATATCACAATGCAATAGGAAGAGCAAAGACAGAAACGTATGGATAATATGCTTAGTAAAATTAAGTGATGAGTTACCTCCATAAACAAACAATGAACGGGGGACCAATG